TTTTTGTTAACGCGAAGTCAATATCTCTATATTTCTTTGAGTGGTCCATTGAATCACTAGTTATCAGATTTTCGCCACAATCTAAAGACAAAAAGACAGCAACCATGTAATTTAACCACAAATCAAATTTATATAATTTGAATTATACTTATCCATGCCTGTACAACTGGTGTGTCCTACACAGTTAGGAATAAATATGTTACTAAATATGCCTACCAATCTTATGCGTAATTTATCGAACTGATGATGCCTATTAACTGGCGTCCCTCATGTGCAAAAAATGAGAATATATTATTGTCATTATTAGAAGCCAACAAAGCTCTGTGCCGAAAAATTACCAGGATGAGTCAATATCAGAGAATAACTTCTCAGGCAGCGTGACTAACCGTCATATATCTCGATGAGCTGTTTTGGCGTTCACTAAGCAGACAACAGAAACCGAGGGATTGTACGTGAGCCATCTTGTCTCTACTTTTTAACGGGAGGAATAGAGGCTACTGACTGCTGCCAACTTGTAGCTATATTGTCAAGAATATTGAAGTTTCTGGAAAGTTTGACAATCGCTCATGCTGGAGGAGGCACTGAATTATGCCTTGGGGTGACTAAAAAGAGCTGCTCACTTGGGGCGGTAAAAGTGGCACAATCTAAGTTCTTGAACCTTAGGAGTTATCACTTATGATGCTTGCTATCAGCTTGGAGAGAAGGCTTCTCCGTTATGAATATAAAGCTATGCATCTGCTACCATCATCATGCATTTTTAATATATCTGCCTCCGTACTTTGTTTTGATTTCTTGTCTCTTATCATCTGATCGACACTACTCTAGCCTCCACTTGCACGTTCCCATTGTCTTACCTGTCCGATGCCCATTCCGTCTGTGGTTTGTTCAGTTCATATTGTCTACTCATTCTATCGATTCGCTTGCTGATTTCCTAGTTCCTGTAGCGGTAGGTAATTCCCCAGGATTATCAGCCACAGCAACATCACTGAATCTTGGATGCTGATCCTTACAGTTTAGGTCGAATTATTTAGCTGAAGGCTTACGATCAAGCATCCACGCCATTTGGCACGCTGTTTTTCGTTCGTTCGTGCACGATTCCTAGCTAGTTAAGCAATCAGTCTTGCGATACGATTTGGTCCCAAAATATACTTCGTAATTTGGAAGATCGGTTTGGGTGTTTTGCCTTGAATTTGGTCTAAGCGGAACGAATAGTGTAGAAGTTGTGAGTATTAAATGAGTTGGTATACTTAGTACTATCCGTTAAAGTAAACACCCTCAGCATCTAATTAACTTTTTCGCTAGAATGTTTTACAAACTCCCTTGGAAATCATTACCAGCAGACATGGCTGGTAGAAAGCAGTAGTCGAAGATTTGCTGATCATGCAGAAAGGCAAATACCATATGCAACGGACTATCTGCTTGAAACTCCCATACCTCTGTTAATGGGTATCACTGAAACTTCCGCTTAACCCTCCCCTAGTTTTACTGTCCTGACTCCTTTTCATCCTAATTTACGTACTTTTATTTGTATCATTACAACCAATATTCCCCTTTGATATCATACTGAATGACTTGTGGGTAAAAGGATTAATTCCGTTCACAACAGTGGTATTGTCTTTACGAAATACATGTTCCAAACCACGCACAACTAATCTTTACACAGCTACTGCAATCGAACGTCACAACAAAATTGAGGAACACTCGCCTTACCCCAGGCTGTAAAAAGAATGATGGATATTGGATACTCTGAAGAAATATACGGCGACCGCAGAAGTCTATGAGGAAGATTTCGCATGAAGGGATACAGTGAGGATTCAGAGATACTAAAAAAATACGAAAACGAATGCTGTGAAGTCAGAAGTCTTATACAAGCCAGTCAAAAAATATTACAATCTGGATTCAAAGACATTGGACATTGAATGAAAGTGAAACCGTGGTGTTTCATATAGTGATATAAGTTACCGCTGAAGTAGCGCTACAATCAGTGATTCGACTGCTACTCATCATAAACTATCGTCGTGATTCGATAGTTCCTTGTAGTTAATATAATCTTACTGCATCAAAAGGCACCTGTGACGTCTCCGAATCATCCGTCCTTCATTTACAAAAGACAGCCATTTGTTGTCTACATCAATATACAGATATAGCACTCCAATCAAGAGCAAGGTATTAGAACAACTGGAAATGGAGATGATGTTTTATCCCTTACTGTGGTATCTTCTGATACTTTCCGTAAATTCTGTTGAAGGTAGGTGCATACTGACCGTTTGCTTAATACACTAGTTTATTACTAAGATGAGTTCAAAATAATACCTAAGGATTACTTAGCTGAGTACATACAAGGCATTGTAAAATTTCCATATATGAAAGATGCAAACAATATAAATTCACTTTCATATTGTCACGAAAATAAGTGCTCTTTTATTTTCGGTCCACTTTACAGGTCCGTGTATGCGTTTCGCTTTATGAGCAGCCTAGACATCTGGGCATTGCACACCTACTAAATTTTTTAATAGCGATACCATATACATTCACTTGTGAAATTTATGTAACAAACAGCTGTTTGTTAGATTGTTAGCATGGTTTCATTTGGAATTTTGAATAGCATGTGCTAACTACTACTTATCACTTCTGTATTCATAAGCTACGTGTCCTTTTATTCATAAGTTCAATTCTGACAAACTGCCTCATTTCACCTGGTGACTCAATAATAAGGCCAACAATTTTTGATGCCTTATCCCTCGATATGAATGAACGAGTTTCACGGGGTATGTTATTTTTGAAATCATTGGTGAAAATGCTGAGAAACAATGATGTATTCCCTCTTGCATTGCAATGTTGTCAAAGAAGACGGTTGAATTGATTACTTCACTATTTGTATATGCAGCTAATGAAAATGAAATGCATCAGCGTGTGATTATTAAAATAAACTTACCTGATATAGAATTATATTCTACCGCAATGCCCAAGTTCTTCACTAACATTAATTAATATTTGTGGTTTTGTTCCACACTGTTACAATGAACTTTGCGAATTGCCTGTATGCTATTTAAATATCCAATGATCTGTGTAGATTTCATACTATGAACGATAGATTTTTATATAAACCAAAACTCCTTGACCCCATTTTACTTAGAAATTCATACATATGTCTTAAGAAATACTAAACAGGGTGCATATTGTTCATTCATAACTAGCATCACAATATAAATAGGTTGGTCATCTTAACTGTCAGCCACATTTCTGCTCAATTTATGCACCACTCCAGCAGATTTGTAGGAAATACACTGAAGTGGATAAGTGTTCGATTCAAATTCATGCAATAGGAATAAAGTTTTCGTGAAAGATGATATGGAAAAATTTAGAAATTACCCCTTTTTAATATTGTATGTGATATATACACAGGTGACTCATCAATATTGATTGCGCCTGCATGATAATTTATTTCCCACACTTGCATGATTATTGATTTTTTGCACTCGCATTTAATAACTGAATTCCAATGGTTTGCTTATATTTTTAAATGTGACATTGATTTTCCTAACTGTATAAATACCGAGATTTTGTTTAACATTTCGACTGTTGTTAGAGACAGTAAAAGCTCTCGTATCAACGTCCAGTCTTCTTTCTTTGTCTTGCGTGCCCGGCGGTATTGTCGTTGTTGTTGTTGACGTGCAATTAGGACAGATTAGCCAGCGCATTAAGTTAGATTCGCTCATAGTTTACAAGGTCCTAATATCTCATACATAACAGTATCCGACAATATCTCTCATTTCAAATTTTTCAGTTTGATTTTTCTGTCATATTTTTCATGCACTCCAAGCGGCAATTAAGTCCCCTTGGAAGCACTTGAGTTGGAATCAATTGTTTGCCATCACTTATATTTGGCTCGACGACTAAACAGAAGCTTTCATTTCCTTCTTACACAGTCTCCTTCATGTCACTCTTAAATGCTCAACTCGTTGTTTACTTTCCACTAGAGTTCCACTCGAAGGCCTGAAGTGTGATACCTCTTGGACATCTCATAGTATACGTATGAATCATCTTCATTTCATTCTGCATATTGATTGGTTCGAAGTTTGTTGCCTCGTTCACTACCAGAGTTCCACATCACTTATCCTTATCGACCAATAATCTCAGTTTTAGTATCTAGCAAAGTACGGAGGTGTTGATTAAAGCTTAGAAATGCCTTAGTTGGTGCATGTGATAAGTCTCTAAAGTGCATAAAAGCCCTGACTCGTCGAATTCGGATCTTCTTCATTTGGCTCAGTGGCAAAAATCTCCACGTTGATTTCAGAGTAATGAAACTCTGTCTTGCTTTCCCAGTCGTAGTTAGCCTTAATGTTCTCGGATATATCACATTTCGCTAAAACGATGATGCCCGGGTGAGTTAAGGAAACAAGTACCTTTAGATTTACTTTGCTGATAGAAATTGCCTTTTGTTATCAGCTAGATACCTTCTTCACTTCTGTCTACCATATGTCAACTTGAAGTCCTGTTTTTTTGATGCCTCTTCTATCAACCTTTTGGCTTTTGCTTGAAAGTCTTCGAGTGTGTTACGACAAGAGATAAAGATGATCTGCTAAATTTAGATCTCCCAGCCTTTCTTTGACAATTTAACGTATGCCCGTCTTCCCACCACTCACGATTTGCCTCACGACCCGATCCACCACAGTTAGGTGGATCATCAGTGGCGGTGGACGCCAATATCTTCACCGCCTGTCCACTTCAGACGCCTATCTGGGCTTTCACTTGTGAGTTAATCGGTGTGTGAAATCACAACATATATTCGGCATTACATTTTGTAGTGTTTAAGCATCTGTTAAATGAATTCATTGTTAACTCATTTGAAGGCTTCTTCAAAGTAGACAGGGTCGAGGTAAGAGAAAATGACTTACTTAGTTCAAAGAAATCTTTTTTTAATGTGAATATAGAACTTCATATAAACTTTATATATCTGCATAAATTTAAAAAATTTGTATTCTCAAGATGAAATTCAGGGTACTTTAAATGGGTTCGATAGTGAAGATATTGTGATTAAAATTGGTGACAGGACAGTTTTTAAATGTGGTGTATTATCTAGCAAGATTGTTTTGGAACGTCAAGGATATTGGGAAGGACGTATAATTAGAGGAAGACATAGTATTATAGATATGCAGAAAAGAAATAATCAAATTTTTATCAAACCGCCAAATAATAATACAATTTATCTGAAATCTGGTATAGTTGAAATTGAGTGCAAATTAATTAATCCAAGGACAAAAGATATTATTTTGCAATTTACAAAAATGATAACCATCACAGGTAAATGAATTTATTTAATTGCAGTTTGGTGTTCAACGTCTTTAGTTTTCTTCAGTCCTAAATTTATTAAACATCTTTAAAACGTCATAAAAGTCTGTTTTTCATATAAATAAACAATAGCAACTGAGCTTAGTATATCTAGAAAATGTTTACTTCATAGTGGATAAGAGAGCTATGAATTCCAAACGTTTAATCGAAGTCTATTAATCTTGGTGAATTCATATGACTAGTTGAGAACCACTGACATCGAACAGTTGTTCTTGCTAGCCAGATTGAAGTAATCTAAACATCAGACGGCCCCTTTTTATGTTTGAAGCTGAACTCATCAACTAGGCATTTTGCGTGAACTCAGCTCACAGAGTCAAATGAATCTAAATCACAGAGTTTCTGACTAGCTACTTCGGCGAAATGGTAATGGAGAGAATCTAATTCGTGGAGGATTTCATCATGAGCTGACATCAGTTAGAGAACCACTGGAAAACCTGGGAGTACTGGACAGCTGGTTCGTCCTAGTTTGGGACTCTTCAGCAGTATGCATCCATTGAAGAGGCTAGAACCCAGAGCTTTCTGGTTACAAGGCGAGCTCATAGACCATTGAGCCGGAGCTTATGATGAAATCCTCCATGCAATCAAGCAAAAGAAAATCCCTACAAAACCCATACTTCAGAATCTAATTCATCGTTTGAAAATTATACAATTCGAGTTGGAGGAGTAAAATCTTGATTACTATTTGTATTGTAATCAAGAAAGGAAGCAAAAAGTAGCGTGTTACTTTTTACTACTGATCGATATGAGCAGTTGGAAATCAGTCAAGTAATACAAGTAGGCAAAATGAGTCTCAGTATTTTTTGGCCAGAAAAGATCAGCAACAGGGATCTTTGGGAGCGAACCAACCAGGAACCGATTGTGAAACAAATAGGCAGGAAGAAATGGAGATAGATTGGCCATACTCTGAGGAAACTATCAAGTGACATCACTAGACAAGCAATTGCTCGAGTGGAACCCGAAAGGGAAGCGGCGAGTTGGTCGTCAGTGCAAGGGTGACTTGGAGGAGGTCATGTGAAGAGGAGATGAAGGCATGTAAGAAGACATGGAGCCAGGTGAAGACTCTAGCAGAGAACAGAACGCAATGGAGACGCACGGCTGAAGCCCTATGTTCCTCTAGGAATTAAAGGATAATAATAATTTTTTGGCTTTCAAAGAAAACTATGGTGATTTCTTACTTTGAACTGTACGCAACTGTGGTGAAGTTACGTTCACAGAGTTGGATGATTTCTTTGTGAACCCTTCATTGCTTTACCAGGCAACATCCTCAGTGCATACTTCAATTTGAAGTGGGCTGTGAAATTTCTACACAAGTTTATTAGTCATCTCCCCTGGTAACCTTAAACATGATTGGTTGTTTTTGTGTATTTCCTCACCCTTTAGTCTACTTGTGTTGGTACTGATTATTTCCTTGACCTGAAGTCTAATATTTTAGTCATGTGATGTCCTTCCTATGGATTGGTAAATCCTTTCTGTGCCGATGTGTCAGGCGTTCTTGGTGTTTCCCCTACCAAATGTTTGAACGTAGTCCTAGTCGGATTGATGTCAGTGGTTGTCTATATGCAGCAATATAAGGCAGTGAATATCGTGTCTTTCGACTGCCAGTTTATGTTCATGGATGCTAAGACGAAGAGGGAATCCACTTTCGTCAATGTATCGTTTTTCGTAGTCATTGCACTTTATTTTTTAGATGATGTCGGTTTCATCTTCTTACTCTGTTGAATCTTTTGAATGATACAAAGATGAGTGAAGTGATTTTGTTGGTTTGTGTGAGACATCAATTCCAAAAGGTTTAGAAAGTCTTGCAGTGATTAATGAGATGATCTTTATGTGTGGTTAAATGATTCACTGCACGATGTCTTTCCTATCTTTCAGATTTCTAAGTGTCTGTAGTTCTTGAGAGTTGAGCAGTGTGTGTGTGTGTTGTTTCTTCTGTTTAACCATCAGTACAATAGTTCCGCATATCTCTTTTTATGTCTCCTCTTTTAACTTTGATCATTTGAATGATGCTTCAGGTGCAGCCAAGAAATCAGCTTTTGAAGCCTCTTAAATGTTTTAGTTTAAGTCTTTTTTTAGCAGTTTTCGTTCCCTGTTTAACAGTTGATTTCTCAGTCAGTTGGTTAATGTACGGTTTTTTATTAAATGTTGACTAACATAGTCATTCAACAGCTGTACGACAACGGCACATGTCAAGTGATCCACAACGGAAAACTCAGCGAGGCGTTTGGAGTAAACACAGGAGTCAGACAAGGGTGCTTATTATCACCAATGATATTCCTAATTGTGGTGGATTGGATTATGCGTCAGACAGTGGGGAACGAGATGACAGGGATATCCTGGACCGACGTGAAGAACCTAGAAGACCTGGATTTCGCACAAGGATGATTTATGTTTGATGTGACACAAAATTGAAGAATTACAAGCGAAAACCGTCAAACTGGTCAAAGAAGCAGCAAAGACAGGACTCCAGGTGAACTTAGACAAGACGGAGGTTATGAAAATAACCAACCAACAACAACAACAACAGCAGCAACAACATCCAGCGCCAATCACCATCAACGGGAGGGATTTGAAAGAGGTTACTTCATTCACTTATCTAGGGAGCATCGTCTCAACTACACTACAGGAGGAACGGACGAGGATGTCAAATCGAGAATCGGGAAAGCGAGAAACACATTCATCAACCTGAAACCAATCTGGAAATCTTCGTCACTCAGCAACACTCAACAACAAAATTCGGATTTTCAATACAAACGTCAAGTCAGTTTTGCTATACGGATCAGAAGCTTGGCGGGTCACAAAGAATATTTCCAACAGCCTGTTGCAGACCTTTATCAACAACTGTCTTCGTTCTATACTGAAGATCAGATGGCCGGAAAGAATCACAAACAAGAATTATGGGAACAAACAAAACAAGAACCAATCGCCGGAGAAAGTGGAGATGGATTGGACACTAGCTGAGGAGGCCGTTGGGTGACATCACGCGTCAGGCCTTCGAGTGGAACCCGAAAGGGAAGCGGCGAGTGGGACATCAGTGCAAGGGTGACATGGAGGAGATCGTGTGAACAGGAACTGAAACAGTATGGATTAACATGGATGCAAGTGAAAAATACAGCAGAAGACAGAAGCAGGTGGAGGCGTGCAGTTGAAGCCCTATGTTCCACTAGGAACGCAAGGGAACAATAATAATATAATAATATAACATAGTTATGAGAACCTTTCATCTTTGTTCTTTGTGTCTTTCACTTGATATTGCAATGGCAATGACCAGCGTTTACATGTGATCCTGTCTAAGGGTTTTCTCTATTTTTTTCTTTTTGGATATCCATTATTAGTTAATATGTATCGATTCGGTAGTGTGCATCTGTATTGATTAATCTGACTATTCGTTTTCCACATTGTTCAGTCACTTCCCATCTCATAGGGTAGTTGATTAGTGATTTGTATCTGAAACTGGTTGGTAAGGTTTGATGATGCAGACACTCATGGTTCGATGCCTTTTAGTAAAATCTTTTAATTTTCACAAAGAAAGAAGCGTTCTTCATGCTCATAAGATTTAGATATAATGGAGAAAATGTATAGCTCACTTGGATGATTTTGGCGTATTTGTGTTCTCTGAACTAGATGGTTTATCTGAGAAAGATTTTATCATTTTACTAGGCAAAAATCTTTAGAGCATACTTCAATTTGAAGTGAACTTTTAAACAAACTCGGAGAGAAATTCAAAAGCTCACTTCACATTAAAGTATACTCTGTGGATTTTGCTTAGTAAGGCGATGAAAGCATTCTCAAGTAAACCATCCAGTCCAGAGAACACAACTACACCAAAAGCATCCACCTGAGCTATCAATCTTCTCCATTCGATGTATGTAACACTCATATGGCACATCTGAGTCCACCAGTCTTGTTGAAATTACTGTCAACAAGCTATATTAGATGACAGAATTAGTTGACAGAACAGTTTGCATATCAGCATAATGGGTCATCAATACTACTTTATCAGTCATTAAAAAAAAATATAAACTGATACACGTACTTGATTATTTGTAGTAATCTATCTTCAACTGCAAACACAAACGTAATAATAAAATACATAAGTGAATCTTGCGAAACACTATTTTAATCTACTATGAATCCAGGTACTTCCGGTCACAAAGGAAGCTAGCTCACAGACTATTAAGCCAGTGGGAACTGACTCCTAAATGGCAAGCAGCCCATGAATTCCAGCTTCTCCTAATTCAAAACATAGCGCTACTGGTACTAGCCACTGTCATTGGCACGTATCTGTCCTCACACCCGGTTGGGTGAATTAGCAGAAGTTGGAATTAATTTACCATTGAGGAGTCGAGTCTCAGTGGCTGATTTGTCTGTGAACTAGCTCGCCTTGTTACTGGAAGGTCCTAAGTTCCAAGACTGGTGGTGAGTTTACACTATACTGACGAAACAGCTGTGCAGTATTCGCGTGCTGGTTTTCAATGTTTCGCTAACTGATTTCAGTATACAATGATTTCCTCTAATAAACTGAACTGTCTATTTTCTAAAATTATGTTATAATTATATTCCGCTATTTACTTATGTATATTTTATTAAAGATTTCATATATATGTTTCCTATCATAAATTTTAATAATAAAAGTAATATCAGATTCTCAGTTTAAAATGATATCATCATTCTATTTCATGGGCTCTCATCAACTGCATACGACTACCTAAAATTACAATGATTATAAATACTCACAATAGCATACTTCAATGTTTGAATGATAGCAGTAGTAGAGAAAACATCATAAAATTAACACATCGGAAAGATAAACATTACAATTTTCAGTGTGAGTTATCATCGATTTATGTGCTTTCAAAATAAAAAAGAAAGTGTGTGGAGGACAAGAGAGAAAATAGGAAAATTCAAACATTAAATTTCACATAGAATATAAGCACAACGATAAGTTCAGGTTC